GATGATGATGATGATGATGATGATGATGATGATGATGATGATGATGATGATGAGGATGATGATGATGATGATGATGATTACTAAATATGATTGTCATTAGTATCATCATCATCACAAATATTATGATTACTATTATTATTATTATTATTATTATTATTATTATTATTATTATTGTTATTATTATTATTATTATTATTATTATTATTATTATTATTGTTGTTATCATCATCATCATCAACATTCAATGTTTTCATTCTCCCGAAAATCTCGGGGTTTTTTTTTTCAAACATAAGTTTGTTCTTTTCTTGTTGTCCCCCAGCACGCGGAGGAGATCGCCACCATGTCCATCGACCTCCTGTCTGCCATTAAACAGATCGACGCCCCGATGGTGGAGGGCGGGAAACTCAAGATTAGAATTGGAATACATTCAGGTTAGTGGGCTCAATGACGTCACAAAACTCAAGGTAATAATTGGAATACATTCAGGTCAGTTGGTTAAATGACGTCACAGAAACTCAAGATTAGAATTGGAATACATTCAGGTTAGTGGGCTCAATGACGTCACAAAACTCAAGGTAATAATTGGAATACATTCAGGTCAGTTGGTTAAATGACGTCACAGAAACTCAAGATTAGAATTGGAATACATTCAGGTTAGTGGGCTCAATGACGTCACAAAACTCAAGGTAATAATTGGAATACATTCAGGTCAGTTGGTTAAATGACGTCACAGAAACTCAAGATTAGAATTGGAATACATTCAGGTTAGTGGGCTCAATGACGTCACAAAACTCAAGGTAATAATTGGAATACATTCAGGTCAGTTGGTTAAATGACGTCACAGAAACTCAAGATTAGAATTGGAATACATTGAGGTCAGTAGGTCTAGACTATCTGACGTCACAAAACTAGATTAGAGCTGGAATACATTCAGGTCAGTATGCTAAGTCTTAATGACGTTAACATTTTCTAATTATTGCCATTAGCATGTGCACTTGCATGGTTTAATCTAAAAAATACCTGGCTTTCCGTTAGCTCAGTTGGTATCTTTCATTCTGGTCTACTGAGTGGGCTACTGTTGTTGGAATTCCTGACCTGTCGTTCTTGAACTCGGTTCATTATGTAATAATAAATCTAATTAATAAATAGCATTTGTTTAGCGCATGCACCCACTAAAAAGCAAGCTCTATGCGCTTTACACTATATTATTACCCCAGCAGACCATAGAACACTCAGAAATATTCTTAGCTTTCCGGGAAGTATACAGTGCAATTAGTAGCTGGTTAAGCGCTCAAACACTAACAAACTGACAATAAGATCTTTCACTGTCTATAGCTGAGTACCCATTTTCACCTGGGTGAAGTGGGGAAAATTCGTGTAAAGTGCCTTTCCCAAGGACAGGGGCGTCGGGCCCGTGGCTCGAACCCCCGAACCCTCAACCTCAGGATTACGAGTCCGGTAGCCTAACCACTAGGCCACCGACGCCACAAGTGACGTTTTCAAGGCTCTCAAATCGTTTGGCTCTATCCAATAGAAGTTGGGGGTTAGACTCTGAGGTCCCGACCCTCGAAAAAAACTTACAGTGTTGAAAGAGGTGTTAAACATGACGTACACTTTCGAGTCTAATGCAATCGTTGTGATTATTATTATTATTATTATTATTATTATTATTATTATTATTATTATTATTATTATTATTATTATTATTATTATTATTATATGTCTAACGTAATCTTTTAAACACGTTATCATTATTACTATTATTACTCTTCTTCTTCTTCTTCTTATTATTATTATTATTATTATTCTTATTATTCTTATTATTCTTATTCTTCTTCTTCTTCTTCTTCTTCTTCTTCTTCTTCTTCTTCTTCTTCTTCTTCTTCTTCTTCTTCTTCTTCTTCTTGTTATCATTACTATCATTACTATTATTACTATAATTTCGACAAGACTAACAATGCTGCCCCCCCCCCCCTGTCTCCCCAGGTCCGTGTGTGGCGGGTGTGGTGGGCCTAAAGATGCCGCGCTACTGTCTGTTCGGGGATACCGTCAACACAGCCTCTAGGATGGAGTCAAACAGTGAACGTGAGTGGTCTCGTTGTCTGTTGTATCATTGTGATTTCTTGACCTCCCCCCCCCCTTCCTCCCACCTTCGAGTCCAACAGTGAGCGTGAGTTGTTTCGTACTCTGTTGTATCGTTACGATGCCTTGACACTCTCCCCCGTCTCTCCTCACCCCAACCTTGTCTCCCCCAACCGTGTCTCCCCTCCCCCCCCCCCCACTCCCCGAGTCCAACAATGAACGTGAGTTGTCGCGCTTTCTGTTGGGTCGTTAAGATTTCTGGAGTGCCCTGACCCTCCCCCTTTCTTTCCCACCTTCACCCCAACCCTACGATACAAGCCTAAAATCCACTCTAACAACCCTCCCCTCCCCCTATCTCTCCCACTCTCACCACAACCCCACCATACAGCCCTCTCTAACAACCACACTCTTCTCAATTCAAAACATCCCAAACTAAGCAAAACACCGTCAATAATAGTGACTATGGCCTCTAGGAAGTAGTGCTGGGCGGCTTGGTTCCCGATTATTGAAAGCTAGGAATCGTAGGAATTGACTCCGAACCCAATTACTTACTTTCTAAAGATGTGATTTCTTCTCGTGGTTACATGGTTGGCTCCGAATATCTTCAAGATTTAGGATTACCTTGGTTTCGGAACACTACGAAGCATCAACTTTCATTTGTCAAAAATACATTCTTTAAAAAAAAGAAGATTTTAATGATTAAAGTAACTGGTAACGGTTGGTTTACGTAAAAAGGGGTTGGAACTTTTCTTCCGTAGCATTAATACATTAATCGTGGGGATCGGTTCCGGAATCAATTCTTCGCCCATCTCTACTAGGAAGGAGTCCGAAAGTGAGAGTGAGTTGTTTGGTTTTTTGTTTTATCGCTATAAATTACACTTTTGTTTGTCCCGGAGGGCACGTTGGTTTACAATGGCAAACATACATTTACATACATAGGTACATAATTATGAATACGTGCATACATAAATACATGCATAAATACATACGTAGATAATCAATATTACACAAATACAGAACAGTTTACTATCATGCCACTGTCAGTCGCCACTGTGCAGCGCCCTGTGACTTATGATTTTTAGAGAGCTCTTACCCTCCTCCCAAGGTACTGAAACAAAGCTGTAAACACGCTCTCGCACACACACACACACACACAGGTGCGCTGTTAGAGTTATGGTCGTGGTTCA